CATGTGCTTTTGAAAAGGGAACTTGCATTACTATGTGGATTTACAAATGTTATCCCAGAAAAAATGTACTTAAAATATGAGATACTTTGAATTTAGTGGCCTGTTCATCTGCATGTGCATTTTTTTTGTCTAAAAGCACTACAGCTCCTTCAAGCAAGACATACATCTGAAATACCAACTTTCAGAGACATGGAGGAGTAGGTGATTGCTGATTAAGATGAGACAAAGCAGCATGTCCTAGCTCTGTCATAAGTTTCAGAGTGTGAAGCTCGATTTCCTGTTTTGCTATGTGGGACATGGTTCTTGTAATGCACAAGTTCCACTCCACTTGCCCAGCTATTGTCTTCTTCATCTGCAATGCGATCCCTTTGTTACGATATATTGGGTATATGTGATCCCAAGTAGAGACTAGTTTCTGTAGCAGAGTTTTTGCCTCTTCCAAAACAAGAAAGGAGAAGGTAGCTAATATTAAAAGCGTGGGGAAACGTGTTTTTTTCAAGGGGTGCATAGTTTAAGAAGTTGGGGTGAACCAAGGGCTTGCTGCTGAGTGGCTTCTGGAGAACTCAGAAGTCTAAGGCTGCTGCCGAAACTTGAACTCCAAGGATGCCTGACTGTCATTCTTCAATGCTTCTGAGAGGCTGAAATTTTCTGTCTCCTTCAAAATTATGGACTCATAGGATTAACCTGAGCCAAAGGCAGTGAAAGCAGATGCTATTCAGGCTCTTCCCCACATATTTGTCAATAAACCTCAATCATGACCTGTAATAGTCTTGGTATCCCAATCTTGTAAACACCGTCAATCATACATAAATTCTGTGCTGGTTTTCCATCGTGTGGATAAATGCCTTTTGCAGTTAGGTTGAGACCACCAAACTCCTTCCATGTGAGTCTTCGTCCAGATTCATGAAATCTTGAAACTGTAGCATAATTCTGTGCTATGCCACTACTTACCACACCACAGTCTTCCTAAACATTTCTTCTACTCATAAATCAATGGCTCCAGTTCTCTTTCTGTCATGCATGAACTAGGAAGTAACTCTTCCTAGGAAGACACTGTTCCCAAGAAAATTAAAAGAAATCATATTACTGAAAAACTTCAGAGGACAAGGACTTCGTTTTTGTTCAGTTTTGTGAGTGACCAGCAAAATAAAGGGATATGTGTTCATGCTGGGTTAGTCCTACTGCAATAAAAATAACAATAACCCTTTGGATGCATTGGCAGCAAGTATCTAATACTTTAGTCTTCCCTTTGACGATGATCTGGATAATTTTCCAGATGTACTCGGTCATCTGCTTGACAATAGCCAAGAGAACGGATGTCCTACAGTTTTTCAGGTCTTACAGTCAAATCTGGTTTTGGTATTTCTGGCAGGTGTCTTAGGCTGATGGGTTTGATCTCCATCGCTGTTATCTCAGTTTGCTCAGGAAAAAAAATGTTTATTCCGCTTGAAAGTGGGTAGCTTTATAGCAGCTCTCAGAACGTCTCAAAAGCAAGTCCAGTAACATTTAAGGACTTTCTAGGGGCAGTTACCAAATTAGTACCAGTCAATAGATGCAAGTGTTTTCAAAGGAATTGGCGTAACTGAGGTTGCATTTGTCAGATTACACGTTGCAGGAAGCTATGGAGACGTCAAGATGCATCATCTAGTTTTCTGCATTCAAAAAAACCAAAGTATATTTGTAGGACAGCAGGCATTCTGCTAGGTTATAGTAAGATCCACTAGGAACTAGACACACAAAATAAAACAGAGACATAGATTTGTAGCTGATAAGCTTTTTTTTACTTTACTACAATTAATTTGAAAAAATGCCTGCATTAAAACACAGGTACTCCATAAATGTCTGTTCAACAATGTTCCAGTTCAGATCAACACATCAGGCGGTGTATGACTCCCAGCCAAACATCTTGTTAAATACTTGCAGGATTTCCCATAGCGGATCTTACTTTAATCAAATAATTCAAACGTTTCTTTTGTAAGTACAATAGAAGGGCAGGGCTTGTGTTTACAAAGCATTCAGTATGGAAATCCTGTATTAATTGAAGTACATTTACTTCACTTAAGACAGTGTCCACATAGTAACTCTTTAAATAAAAGACCTTTTGCTGTTGCCTGTTCCAAAGAGGCGATCGCATGCAAAACTAACCCGTCACGTACAGAAAATCATGAGGAAGTGGCTTGAGAGAAGTGAACTGCAGACAGCGGAGATGTTCCTAGCTAAAGAAACATCTCTGGTTTATGGATGATTTTCTCACAGTAGATGTAAAAGAATACAATTTATAAAAAGTAGTTTTATCCCCATGGAAACTACTAAATAACGGGGCTGTGTCTCAATCTATTTCCAGAATGTTTAGCATGGGCAATGCCAGATGTTGTCTTTCTGTAGTGTTGTGTATTCGTATAAGCTGCACTTTAAATTATTATCTTCCTAAGGCAGCAGCTGTATTTTCTGTGAGTAAATACAATGTGCTTCTACCCAGCCTGGTGCAGGATATAGAGTTTTCATTATTAACAGCAAAGCGTTTAGAGTTTCACATAAAGGGTGTACAAAAAGGAAAGATAATATTATTACTCAGTGATAATATTTTACTCAGTAACAGGGGACTAGAATTGCTGTCCTCCGAGTTCCTTATTTTGCTGTGCCAGAAAATGCCAGAATCAAAATAAGCCACATACAGAAGAATTAAACAGAATCAGTATTTCCCTCCACAATGAGTTGGACATTACACATTACTTCTGTATTCTATACAGTGAAATCTTTTTTCCTTTTATTTCTTGAATTATAGTTCTGCTATAGTTGAAAAGATCATTTTGCCAGTGTATTAAATACTTGGCAAAATGGTTTTTTAGAACATTTTTAGGTAAATGTAGGTCAACACAAAGGAATCATACAGTTGGAAATATTTTCCAGTGTTTACGTTCAGATGTTCAGACCTGTCTGGCTCCTCTCTATTTGCATGTGTTGGGTTTATAGGCAGTCCGGCTACATTCCACATTGATTTACATAAATATATTGCAGATTATTAACCTCCAGCCAAATACCTGCAAATTTCGCTTTATAGGAAGGTTTGTGACTTTTTACAAAACTGTTTTACTGTGTAGAGGACAGCTATCTTCCCTGTACGCCCCATTAAGGGGATCAGAACAGTATTAGTCGTTATTAGAAATGTTCCGAGAAATTTGTTGTTACAGTCACTGCATTACCATAATAATTTAATCAGTATTTGTTCATATGGTGATTACAGATAAAGTACAGATTAGTCTCCTAGTAGAGGTAAGGTGACAGTATCTCCATACTCTGTAACTCCGGTTCCCAAATTATTACTCACTGAAAATCTTGTTTAAGCTAAAAGGAATGTGAATGCATCCATTTTCAAAACATGGTGTCTACTAAGCAATTTTTAAATGTCTGACCAAAGATTATTTAGGAAATGCGGTTTAAGTACCACAAATCTCTATCATCTCAAGTGAGACATACTGCTCTTTTAAACTTGGATTACAGTCTTCACAGATATTGATTTTTATCTTCCCTTGTCTTGTGAAATGTTTTGAGATTTAAGGTAAGAAGTAAAAACTCAGTACAGAGTGTTTTCCCAGTCTGTTTATCAGGTGTCCTCTTTGAAAAGCAGTGACCCCCAAGGCTTTGTGCCTGATCTGTTGTGTATAGATCCTGCATATGAAGCCTGTAGTCCTAGGACAAAGAACAAAAATATTACTTGATAATGTTATCCAAAAACATGCACTTTGCACAAGGTAAGGAAGCAATTACTCTAAGTAAGGGGATGAAAGATACATCTGCTATGATGTTGACAAAAATAAGCAGTAGTATCAACACTGCTTTGGTTCATTATCAATAATAGATTCTTCAGTTTAACTGCGTAGACTTTTTTCTCACTAACTGTGTTCATACATATTTTAAATCTACTGAACCTATTAAAAGTAGTGATTGATTTTCTGCCTCACTTAAGAGAGAAAGACAATCTTCATCTGTACAATTTAAAACTCAATGAATAAACACATTAGTAAAGTATGCGAGTGGGGAACAAGCATCCTCCCATCTCTAAGAGAGTTTCCTGTTGTGATTTTGTAGAAGTGGGACTTGAGGAAGGATAATGAAAGTCACTGTTGTGACTATAGCTGTGAAGCATGGAAGAATGGACGGGCTTTTTTTGGTGAAAAAGATAAAACTGATTAAAGCTGGTACAATAGATGAAGTGGAGAAGATGAGAGAAATCCTAATTAAAAAGAGAAAACAATAGAAAATGGAGTAATCAGATAGGAATGTGACATTATGAAGAGCTTTGCAAATTAGTTTGAACTTGATGTTGTGCAACAAGGTGAAATGATAAAGAAATTGCAGTAAAAGAACGACAGAAGGTGCTGAGAGACGAAAACTTTCTTAGTAGTGGCATCTTGTGCACAAAGCTTTTTTCCAGGCTGTATCCTGACTCGGAAGGTATTCCTTGTGTCCAGAAACCTGCAAGAGTAATCAGCAAAAAAAAATATCTGTTTCTGCCAGAAGAGATTTAATTATAGGCTGTGTAATGGTGAACATGGGAGTTATGTGGGAAGAAACTGAAGGTGAATGCAAACACCCTGTAATGTTTTTCCTCAAAGACGTTTCTCGCGATTTTCTTTTGTAAATGACTGTCAGTGCTTCAGCACAGAATGTGAATAAATATCGTCATTTTCTGTATTAACTCTAGTTGCTCTGTCCAAAAAATATTTTCTTTTCATGTAATTATTTTACTTTGAGGAGCTGATGAATTCTTAATACTTCATCCTAATTCAGAATTGATACATGAAAGAGATATGATATTATTGATGTATCAGTAGTTTTCTGATGAATCAAGAGCTCAAGGATTGCTCTGGCTTTGGAAAGCTCTTTTTTTCCATTCTATATACTGTAAGAAATTCAGACAGACATGTGTGAGCTGCAAGGTATGTATGTCTGTACTGGTTCTTTTATACTTACCTCCTCTTTTCTTTTCCTCCTCTCAGATTGTTTGATGTGTGCACCGTGTCACGAACAGACAGAGAGACCAAGTTAACATTAGTCTTTGAACACGTGGATCAAGACTTGACTACTTACTTGGATAAAGTTCCAGAGCCTGGTGTGCCTACTGAAACTATAAAGGTATTTAAGAAGAAAAATTTTGGATATTGTTTCCAAAAATATTAGATAGGAAGGGCAAAGAAATAGAAAGACAAACAGTGTTTTAATTTCATAGGATTTTGTAATATCAAAACTAAGTAATGCCCAGCTTGGGACATGAATTGCAGCACTTTAAGATCTGTATTGAACAACAGATGTAATCTCTTTCTGGTAATGTTATACTTGGGGTTTCTTTTTTTCCTGTTTTAGACTTATAAATCCCCTGAATCTCTACCAAATGTAGCATTCCAAATCAATAAGAATGACCTTTTCTTGCACCTACAGGCAGATGATTCCATTATTGTCTAGTCCAAAACTACTTGAACCTTCCCTGGAAGGTATCTGGTAGAGTGCTGGATACTCTTAGAATGGATAAAATAAATCCTGGGCTCTTATCCCCTTCCCTTTGCTTTTTGTTTCCCCAAGAGACTCCTTTTGTTTCATATCCCTCTTCCCAGAAATGTGTCTATACATTCCAAGAGCAGGAAATGTTCACCATGGACCTGTGGTGAGCCCTGCAGAGGCTGGGCTCAGGGAAGGGGGTAGCCATGACCAGTTGTAGAATCTGGGAAGGCTCTCAGTAACTGGAAGGATGATCATGAAACTTTCTTATTGTGTTATCTCATATTCTGAATCTGTAAGGGAGGACCTCTTCCCAGGGTAGGATGTGGTTGCATTATTGGTGCTAAAATGTGTACACCAACTCCTCTTCTGTCCTGGGACTTTCACAGCAAAGTGCGACATTGAGGATCATAGCTTGAAATGTCTGACAAAGCATTTACGCCTGGGAAGAGAAGCAGAGGGATTGATGTGCCTACATTTTGACTGTGTCTGTTTAACATTTCTTTTGATTTTTCTTTTTTTTTTTCATGAGGAGAAATAATTTATGCTTTCAGAGACGGATTATCTTGCATTCGTATAAGTACTTTCTGGAAGTATGTTGTCATCTTAGTCTGGCAGAACTCCTGAGGGAGGAAAAGAAAACATGAAACCTATCTGAAATTTGGTTGTCTTAATATATTTTTTTGTTAACAGCTTCAAACTTAGGACTTGTTTGATCTTTCAGTATAAAATTAGACATAGAGCTGATAAAGATCTTTTCACTTATATCAAAGTCACAAATGTATAACATCAGTCAGTTCCAGCAACCATGTTTTTTAAGCAACTTTAGTGGATAAAATATTTTTTTTTAAAAATGCATACAGCTTTGATTCAGTCCCAGCAGAAGACTGGAATGTATCACTTGCATTTGCAGGACTCTTTTATGATAATGTTTTTAGGGTTTCACTTCCTTCTAAGTCTCTGAAGCTACCTCAGGGAACTGTATTTCAATGTAACTACATTGTGAAAATAATGTACAAAGTAACTGGTATATTATGTAACTAGATATATTGAAATTGATGGGAACTGAATGACCAGGCCACTCCAATCTCAGTTTGAAATACCTTTCAAGTTATGTTTCATTTATAGTAAATAGAAGAGGTGAGCATTGGACTAAAACATTCACCATTTTAAAAGCCTGTTCTAAATTTGCACTAGTAGGCTGTAATACATATGTTGTGTATGTGCAAACATACATTACATGGAGGTTATATACTGGTGAAGGAAATTGTTGGGTTTACTTTTGAAAGGCACTATTCTGCATGTGTGGTTTACTAGTTCAACTGATATATCTGATAATTTGGCACAATGAAAGAGAAAAAATTAGCCACATAGAAACAAGGATGAGCAATTCTGGTCTTCCATGTACAGTGCAGGTTCCACTGCAGCCAGTGAAATTAGTGAGTGTGAAATTCAGCTTGTGGCACATACAGTGGCCACATGGGTAAGGAAAGTGTAGAATTCTTTAAATGGGTGAGGAAAAATGTAAAATTCCTGTTTACTCGGTCATCACTGTTGATTTCAACATTTGCACAGTAGCTGATGTGTTATTTCTTGAATTCTGTTTGGCACAGGACAAAAGAGAGATTCGGTTAACTTAAGTTGCACCCTGTTGCTTCATTTTTTAAGTGAAAACACCCAGTTTATGAAGGTACTTTTGCTGATATTCAGGGCTGATCACATGAGGAAGTGTCTCAAGGCTATTCCTGATGCATTTCAACACCTTCCTAATGATACAGTCTTTATGGATATTCCTGGTAGAAACTGCACCAAAGCATAGTTCTCCTGGCTGCAGGGAAACACTGCCATTTTGCAGCAACTGAGCATTCAATCCAGAGCATATACATCATTAAATTACTAGTCTGACTTTTTATAGTTTGGCTTTTGAGGTTAATATGGATTTGTACTTCATTGATTTTCCAGAATTGCAGACAATTTGTGTAGAGCATTTCCCCTCACCACTAGCACAGTGCAAAACAACTGCCAGTATTGTAAGACCATCTGTTAAAGTTCTGCATGTGTCAGCAACACAGAGGTGCCAAATGAGCCGAGTAAGCTCTGGATAGCTTGAAGTTGAAGGATCTAATATACCTCTTTGTCACCATGGTGTAAACTCAACAATTGTTAATGGAACTTGAATGACAAAATTACTATGAGCGAAGTATCAGCCTGAAAAGATGTTTTCTGTGTGAGTTAACTACCATCATTACATACCATTTGGGGGAGGGAGACTAAGCTTTTGCTGGTTTGGGGCATGCTGGGGTTTTTAGTTACCAACTGTCAGGGAATAGAACTGACGCTGGTACCATTTTCATAATTTCCTTTATGATTAGCAGATAGTAGTCAAACTGTAGCCATTCAGAGAAACTAACCGTATCCATCATTTAAACACAGCTAAAGCTTTTGTCTTAATGCTGCTCAGCAATGCCTTTCTAATGCCTAAAGCCCTGCAGCAGGAGTCACCCCAGAGGGTATTTTAGGAGCATACATACATGTGCCCATAAAATGATAGAAGAGAGGCAGTTTCCCTTTGAAGCATTGCTTGGTAGTGGGAATACTTACCCAGGATGGAGGGCAGACATGCTCACTTCCCCTCCCTGTCACCAGAAGCATGAATGTTGTAGTCCATTTCTGTGGCTATGGCTCTGGCTACTGAGTTCTAGATTATTGTGGACAGAGGCATTTTAAATCTTTTCTGCTGAAGCTCTTCCACTATTTTTTAATGGAATATACTTGGGCTAGAGGGATGGAGAACATGACTGCAAATACTCGTGGACATGGCATTCACCTCTGAAAAAGAACTATGGTCAAGACCTTAATCTAGTTAATATAACTTTGTCACTACTGGATTATAGTCCTGCTCACCCTTGCTGACTTCCTCTATCAGATCTGATTAATATATGTTCCATACAGGATGAATCAGAGTCAGCGAAGGTATCATCTTCCTTCTTTTCTCTCTACCCATCACCTCTTCCCTCTTTTTTTTCTGGGATACTCTTTAACTTCAAGGTAGTTTATGTGGAAGTGGAAGGTGTGAGTTCAGTTTCCTTGGGACACACCTGTTAGTCATACACAGGTCTCTGGTAATGTGAACGGCGTTAGGAGTTGAGCCTTCTGAGACTTGGCTCATGAGGAACTTCTGTTAGTTGACATAGGGATAGTAGAAATGGGAATGACATGTCTCTACCATGGAAAGGTTTTTTAAAAAAGACAGTTAATAGGCCACTAAAGCATTTTGATGTGTTAGTCTTTGGGATTGAAGCATGTTTAAGCTGGGTGGCCACGTTTTGGTGTGATGTTTGTGAGGCTGGCGTGGGGTTTTTTGATCCTGAAGGGTTTGGGTATGGTTGTTACAAAACTAATTACATTTTTACTATGAACATCACGTGCATGCAAACAAGTTGATGTTTATTGATTTAAGCTATTGCAATGTATGTAATAAGATTTACCTTTAAAATAATATATCCAGGTGATGGCTTGAGTTGTAAATAAGTTGTTTAGAAATAGCTCTTGGGAGTTCCCTCCAGTCATCTTGTTCTGCTGGGCCAAGAAGTCTGTAAGAATGAGAGAGAATAACAAACTGTAACTCAGTTTCATTAATTTTAGTAATGAACAAGCTTAACTTTGTGAGGTAATGCCATTATAAGTAAGCTTGTGGCTTCGTGCAATAGTTTTCTTACAAGTGATTGGATCTTGGCCTAGCCTAGCTACACACGCTAACTGGGCTGTGCCTGTTTCAATCTGCAGTCAACAGGGGCGGGAACAGAACAAAGGTCTCCGGTATAGCAGGTGCACACGTTATCTGTCATGGGTTGTTAGAAGCGCTGAGAATGTCCTTCTGTCCAGGTGTGTGACCTGTGAATCTTCATGGTGTTCCCCCCAGCCTGGAACAGGGCGGCCCAATCTCAGAGAGAGCAGGGTTTAAGGTACACCCTTTACTCTGGTGTTTCCTGATTCGTCACGCAAGTGAATGGCTTCTGTGGCTATTATTCTCTCGCTCTGTTGCATAGGAAACCTAGATCTCTTTCTGATTCAGGGAATCCAGATTTTGCTATTTAGATGCCTAACATTTAGAAAGTATAGCAGTGAGGCTAATTTTCTTTTGTGGATTTATCTGATAGCAGCCCATAAACTGAATTTTAAAATATTATCCCCCAGTCCTAGAATTGCTGTTGCATCCCTGTGCATTTCCTGTAACTTGGATTACCTGCTATCAAACCAGACAGACTGGTCACATTTTGCAAGACTCTTAGAAAATTAATATGAAGATGTTGCTTCTCAGAAAGCAAACCAGTGTTCAGTGTTGTGAGGTGAGTCATCAGCCATCTGCCACAGTTGTACCTACTCGGTCAATCACGTATGAGATGTGGAGCAGATGTCACACAATCATGCAGTTCTGAAAACACCACAAGATATTCCAGGAAAACAGATTCGCCAGTACTGAAAGTCTTCAAAGTGTGGCCGTATTTAACAACATCAAAGTTAAAAGTCACTGAAAAAGGAGCCTACTCAAATTAGTAAGAAAGATGCAAAGAGAAGAGCTGTTACTAACATTTTCCTGTCAGTACTTTCATGGTAAAGAGAGAAGCAAATTGTAGTGA